GACTGGGGTAATCGGGATGGGTGTGTCAGAGGCGGTGCGGTTGGTTGGCGCAGGATAGAGCAGGGTTTAGGGCTGTTGTGCATAGGGTCGCTATGAGTCGGAAACGACTCGACGGCACATAACAATAAACAACAACAGTTGCATACAGGGACAGATTACTCAGTAAGTAAGATAAGTACATGCTTAAGGCATCAACAGACAGGGGCACCATGTGTCCAAAACAGAGACATTTAGATCCCAAGGAGACAGGACACGAGGAAAAAAAGCAAGTACTGCAGGGGAAGGGAGCTGGCAGGGTGCTAGATGAAACTGATACCAACTCCAGTGTGAGAGACTGTGCTGACCAGAAACAGAGTGTAAACATAGATTTACAGGATGCCCCTATGCAAGGTTTAAGCTCTGAGGCAGGTCTATGGGACTACACCATTTCTTACGAAAATGGTAGGTAGGGTGAACTACTGAATCTAACCCTTGCTACATTCACGCAGTATGCAACTGGATCTGAAGCACTACTACCAGGCAAGGACAGGTTATATTATTAGATAATCAATACATTTGTGGACTCATTTTCTTTGTAGTAAATATTCTTTTTGTAGAAAATGTGGTAAAAATGCTAAAAGCTAACATTCACCAGAAGTTTTATAATCTAGTTTCATTTCATTCTGCTAAAATAGTTTACACCACTTTCTGATTCTGATATTACAATTGCATATAAAAGAGAAGTGCATCGTAGATAACTAAGAAGCAGAAAGATCCTCAACTAGGAAGACCCTCAGCCAGGTGGGTTGACACAGTGACTGCTGCCATGGGCTCGAGTGTGTCAGAGAGTGTGAGGATGACACAGGACAGGTCAGGGTTCAGATCTGTTGTTCGTAAGATCACTGTGAGTCATACCCAACTCGGTGACACCTAATAACAAGAAGAAGCAGATACACAACATATATGTATCTCACATGTATTTATGGAATCACATATATCACCCTCAAGTCCTATTCAGAGCTTGAGTGAGAAAAGGGAGGGCTAGTGCAACAGTGAACGAATGAAAACCCCAAATCTCTGTAAATGTTCATGAAAATTAATAAAATTTAATTTAAAAAAAGAAAAGGAAGGGCACCAAAGATTATTAATGATTGAGGCCTCATATGCTTTAATCCAGCCTGGTTGTAAGGTATTTGTGGTAAAATTGTGACTAAGTGACTTATTCGATTTCTTGGTTTGTTTACATTTTCTGGATTGCGTGGACGCTGTTTAGGATTGTAGATAAATGCATTTTCTGAGTTTGCCGTCATTCCACTAAGCACATAGTCAAACTAAGTCAGAACAAGGTTAGCCTGCATTTGTAATAGTTTTTATTTGCTGAGGGTTACCAGCAAGCAAGTAATAGACTATTATTAAATAGCATTATTATTGTTTTGTAATGTCGAGTTGGAACCAATGCAGTGGGGTTTCAGCAGCAGCAAATCTCATGGGAGGAGATTGCCCATCTTCCTCTCTTGGAGCAACTTGTGGATTTGAACCATGTGCCTTTGTGTTGGCAGTGCTTACCACTAAGCCACCAGAGCTTAGTAACAAATATTAAGCAACTTAATATAAATATTAAGTAACGTAAAAAAACTTGTTTTACATACCTCACATCTTTGCTTCAGATGAGTTTTTTAAAAAAAACAAAACAGCAAACCATCAATTGTTGGAGCCTCTGGGTGGTACTAGCTAGTGTATTCGACTCTTAATCCAAAGGTGGGAGGTTCAGATCTACCCAGAATCTATTAACTTCTGAAAACTCAGCCCATGAAACCCTAGAGGCCCAGTTTCACTCTCTCTGACACACACGGGGTCCCCACGAGTCAGAGTCAACTCAAGGGCAACAGATAACAATCGTTAGGAAACTCCTGTAGACTTCTAAGTTCTCTCCTGCAGCCTCCCCCAGATTTACTCAGCCCAAGAGAGCCGGGCTTCGCTTCCAGAATCTCGAAGACCTTCTAGTTGATATGAAGCCAACTCACTTCACAAGCGAACTAGACTCTGACTGGAATCCTGCCAGAGTTCTTGATTGTCCACTGTTGCTTTTGCCCATCGTGGTGACTGCCTTTAATATAAAGCATGAAGAATGATGGGATCCCAGGACTAGGAACTAAAATGGCAGGTCTTTTTACTGAGTGCCACCCATAGACCCCATCCAGGCAAGGCCCTGCCCTCTTTTTTTTTTTTTTAGGTTGTTTATTTTT